TGAGACACAGGCGAAACGAAGGGCCCGCATGGTGTGGTGGTGAAGTGCGCTACTCCCCGGTAAGGACAATAGCGCGTTCGTTCTCCACCGCATACACCTGCGGTCCGGAGTTTTGCAAATGTTTCAGCATTGTATACGAGTAACATGAAGTACTTATTGTAAAGTCACCAGATTCTCCGCTCAACTCAGAACTTGCTTTCTCATCAGTCATCTCTTCAGAGGTATTAACACCACTAACCAACCAGAGTTCATCGAAAGCTCAGTCGAGTTCTTCAGTTCGAGCTATACTTGGACTCGGTATATTTAAACAATTTGTCAATTCATAGTGATAAACAAGGATCAGGGTCTTCGGGACATGTGACGTATCGTAGCAAAGTGTGGAACTCAAGCACAATATAGGTGGAACCATTTTCAATGATGTTTCATAAAGAATATGGAAAGGAGTTCCAAATATGACTTTTAGTAGTTATTTTGTTTTATTCATGGATTTATATGAGGTACACAAAAACACTCAATACCGGACTCGAATAATGGCAGCCTTAGCGAGCATGATTGAGCTGAAAGGCTAGCCACAATAAACATATCATATATACTTAGTGCAAGTTCATGAATAGAAAAATATTGATTACTTATGCCGAAGTTGAATGGAAGTTGGTAGTAGAAAATATTATTATTTATTTTGTACACATACCAGCAACCTGCTATTACCGAAAAGCTGTGCCGAATTCGCATAAGTTCCCAAGCAAGAAGATTGGATCTCACCTTCTTTACTACTAAGGAGTTGCTCGAAAAGAGCAGAAAACCGAGACTCGATCCTACTTTAACACGTTTAGCATGGCTAGTAATAAATGCCAGCTGAAGAATAGCTTTGCAGAAAGATCTACAACGGCACAAGCAGAAGAAACTACTTGAAGCAGCAGAGGAAAGAAGCAGTCTGAAAAAATGCCGTCGGGACTTGTGTGACTATAGTGTTCCGCTGTCAACCATAATGTACAAAGTTGTGATCACAACGTTGCTGAAATATTTGCAAAACTTTGGACCTAAGGTGTCTATGGTGGGGAACGAACGCGCTATTGTCCATTTCGGGGAATAACGCGTTCACCACCACACCATGCGGGTCCTTCGTTTCGCGTGTCTCTCGACTAGTTCTGTCGATCTTTTGCCATCAGCAATCACCCGTCAACGGGATTGATCTCGTGGGCCCAAATCGGCATTGAACCCAGTTAAGCTGAGGCTGTAGTTGAAATTACAATGTTTTACCTTTTATTTTCTGCCTAATACAATTTTCACCGAAGGGATTTTCGTAACTATCGTACAATATGGTTGTTGATGTACTCTGCAAGGTCTTCATCAAGATTATCCTCTCGCGCATATCAAGTGCATTGAATGCGGCGCAACTCGTGGAGCAAGCAAGATTTCGACAATGATTTTGCTGCATGAGGTGCGTCCAAGCTGTGTCTAGGGTCTTTGAAGTTTATCGGGTGTACAACCTGCTCCTAATCTCTGTTTACCAAACAACATACGAGTGGTCCGATGGTACGGTTCCGAGGAAGGTGAATTCGCCGAAACGTGAGCCATTGAGGAAAGATAACAACAACAATAAGAACATCTGTACCAGCCTCGCATCGACTAGGAAAGGGCAGTTCATAAGAACAGATATACATATGTATATACATATATATATATATATATATATATATATGTACATATATGTATTATTAAACCAGCTGTGGATCACCGACAATGAGCATAACTTCTTGGTGCAGTTTTGGCTTTGGGATGTGCTGCAGAGCTTCGTTGCGGGCGAACTACTGAGATCATCGTCGCCGATTGTTGCAGAGGATTCACTTCTTGTGGCACATCACACTACAGTGGAGAAACGGCTCGTTCTTCGTGCGATGTTCTTTGATTTGGCAGCTTTTTTAACTGCTACGAAACAGTTGATGTGCTTACATAGAGTTCTTCTGCAAATTCTCGAAGAGTTTTGTGTTCATTTGATGACAAGAAAGCCTTCATTTCATCGTTGCCAATAGCAGAAGCACATTTGCGACATTTGTCATGTTCAAGGACGATTTCTTCACAAAAAAGTTTTCTAAACCTGCGTTGTGCTGTGCAAATTGCAGTTTTTAGCTTTTATTACTGCATGTTACTTTTTTCAGGGCAGTGTATCACGTGAAATACAATCACAGTTTGCTGAGATATGAGTAGAACTCCAAACTTCAGATGAGCTTCGAAACCGCGATTACCCTTTTGAGGTGGCGCACATGTTATCCACTGCACCGTCGAAGTCCTTACTTTCCATTTCTCTCAGCCACTTTTTTTATCCTAGCGGTGCTATCGGCAGTCACCCGTCAACAGGAATGATCTAGGAAAACACGAATTGACATTAAACCCAGCTAAACTGAAGCGGCCGTCGAATTCTGCGTGGTCCCAGATTTTGCTTATTTTAGCATCATTGTAGTTGTGTTGCACTGTGCACTCGTTAACATTAACTCGATCCGATGTCTCACTATTATTTTAAGCCCTTTGTATTACATACGGCCGAATGAAAATTCCTAATACGTATTTGTCGGGTTTGACGTTTTTATATCGCAGCGTCTAATCTGTAGTATTTATCGACAATAAATTTTTCTCTTCAAGAATATAGAAAATGAATTTTATGTTGTAACTAAATTATACCCGGTTAGAGTGCATGACATGAGCTACAACAGGAATTGTAATAGCACAGCTTAAAAAAAAACTATTAGAGCAGATACGAGAAAAGTGATGTTATTAACCCGACAAGAATTTCCGAACAACCTAATACTAAACATGGACACGAAGCAAATTGATGTGGAGACGTGTTTTATCCTGTCTGGAATATATCAGCAGTTGGGTATCCTGTTTTTGTTACTGAAGAATTAGCACACTTAGGAATTCTCACCATTCTAAGGAACTTTTGAGCTATATTTGCAACTATTGGAGAAGAAAGTCCGGAAATTTTCGGCATCGAGTATACTACATGTGATATAGAGTGTTACTAATCATATTATCTTAGGAAAAATTCGAGACGCTGTTTCCACAATGCTTCAACGTTGCGAGGAGGAGCTCCCCAACGCCACCACGATTTCATATCCTCCACGTTCGTTTTTGTTCTTTTCTTTTTTAAAATATGAAGCTTTCTTAGACTGCAAATTTATGTAGTTAATGCCGTTCTATTGTAGACGTTGCTCAATCGGCACTGAACATTCTTGTGACATTATTGGATGAAAGGTCAACGGTAGCGGTATCTGATACAATCGTTTTGGCCCACGCTTGCGTTCTAGCCGTTAGTGGTTGTGCAGCTGCCGCATATATTTCATCGATCGAACACTTTCATGGTAATACTAAAGTTTCATTACTGTTGACCATGTCATTTGATCTTTAATCCACTGCTTTTTTTAAAAAATAATGTTGGAATGAGGACATGGGCTGAATAGCATAGTCTGAACCCTGAAGGAATATGCATCGAGATCTTTCACGTTGAAACATTTTTTCAAAATTTGGAATCTACTGGAATACTCTCATTATCATTATCTCTCAACGGTTTACCACCTTATCGTGGCTGGGAGGTCCTACCTAGCTGAAACTGTGTGGTGTTACACTGCAATGTCTGTTTTTTTGATGATAACTGACTTGAAAGGTTGGGAACTTGTCTGACTTGAATGAGCTAGAATAGAGTTTGCGTTGTTGTTTTAACGTAATATATTATTTTTTCAGATGTTATTTCAATTCCAAATTTATTTAGAACTCGAATTTTCAAGACGTTTTAAATGAAATCCAAGGTATTAAATTTAAATTACGTTCTGCTGGACGACGTCAGGGTTGTTTGGGATGCTTGTAGCCACTAAAGCGAAAGATAAAACTGAGAAGTCCTGTTGAATTCGCTAAATCAGAATTTCATTTTGTAGTATAACAGGACTAAGTAGTGTCTTCTCGACAAGTACATCTAGTCTATAATGATTTTATTCCGGTCAATCCATGCCGGGTTTTAACACTGTAGTGTCCTGGGTTACAGTTTTTCTACCGCACTGTTTATATATCTTCGGTAGCTAATCGAAAGCGGATAAAAATGGTAGTGGTGAGGCGACAAAAACTATTCTCCACATTTAATTATTTAAGGAAAACTTTTGCGAGAAAGCTCATTGATTGATTCTTTGATTAACAAGTAACATGTAACTATCATTTCAGTCTAATCACTGTGATCATTGTACAGAATGTGCAGATATGAAAAACACCAGCATAGACTCAGTATAGGTGCAGAATACTTTCAAGTGCTGACAGCAATATATTTGCATAGTGAACCATAATAACATATTGAAAAATTATTTTCTTGTTGTCAAGAAACCAGAAAGTTGGCAGCTGAGGAAGAAGTGCTCGTAATCGACGATGTCTGCCACGGAATATGGTAGCGGGGCGTTATGGGTTAATAGATTTCTTCATGAGTTGAGATATATTTGTTTGAAGTTGAAGTTTTTAGGTCGATTACCATCCGTTATGTGTTGACGTAATAAACGAGCTTATTCCTGCATTTTAACACCCCCGAACTCGTGTATGAATCGTATACGATTTATATGGTGCGAAAATGTACTATTTCATCATTAAACCAACATATCTCATATCAGTACTTTACATGGTCTGCCATCACATGTTGTGCAGATGTTAGCCCTTCTTTCATTCCATTCGTTTCTTTCCATGCGTTATCTACAATGATGGTGTTCACCAATGTGTCGCTGTGTGTGCGGTTGGTGCGCGTGTCTTTAGAATTTTGAAATTTTTTCCACATAGTATTTTATAACAGCTGTATATATATATGTTATATATCATACCTGTAGTCCCGTTGATCGTTGAGTGACTCGAGCGGGCGCCAGTAAATCTTCCGTTTTTCCCTGTCGCGTGCAAGAGTAGACCGGTGGGTTCTGCTCGCTCTAGGAACTCGTTGGGCATCATACCTTTCTTTTAAGTTTTTTGTGAAGAACTCTGACCATCGCGTTGGTGGTCTTCCTGCAGTGCTTTTGAAATCCCGAGGATGCTAGTCACTAACGGCTCTTATCCATCGATTGTCGTTCATACGCATTACGTGTCCGGCCCACTTTATCTTCGACTTTTTGGTGCACAGAACGGCATCTTTGATTTTTAAGAGTTGACGCAGGTCGGAGCTTAGGATTATATGCCTCACTTTTGTGAAATGGGATACTCCCAGCATCGTCCTTATTGCGCGTTCAATAACGTTGAGTGGTCTTTCGTCCTGATTACTCAGCGACCAGGATTCTAACGCATACGTTAGGGCAAGAAGTACAGACGAGTCGAAAAGGTGGGCACGGAGTCGGGTGTTCTTCGTCCTCTTCACTATATCCTAGATGCTCTTGAAAGCTCCCCAGGACGCTCGTTTCCTTCCCCTCATCTCTGGAGCTAGGTCGTTCATCATATTGATTTCCCGACCTAGATAGATATAAGTGGAGCATTCGGAGATATTCGTTCCGTTGAGGGGGCATATGAAACCAATCCGTTCCTCATCGACATCGTTTTTGTGAGATTTAGTCGAAGACTAATCTTTCCGCTGGTTTTGTAAAAGTCGGCAAGCATACGTTCTGCTTGGCTAATGTTTGGTGTTATAAGGACGATTTCATCAGCAAAGCGAAGATGGTGTAACTGCCGGCCACTGATTTTCACTCCCATATTATTCCATTCCAATGTTCACATGACATTCTGGAGGATGGCAGTAAATGATTTTGGCGAGATGGCATTTTTGTACGGCTCACGAAGGATTTTTATGTACTGAGTAGGGACTCCCTGACTATCAAGGGCTTCCATGACTGCTTCTATCTCAATTGAGTCAAAGGCCTTCTTTGAATCGATGAAAGTGAGACAGAGCGGTCTTTTGTACTCTCGTGATACTTCACTGAGCCTTGTTATCGTGTGAATGTAGTCCATCGTAATAAATCCTTTTCGAAACGCTGCTTGCACACATGGCAGCCCTTCTTTCAGTGTTCTGTCAATCCTGTTTAGGAGGACTCGAGAGAAAGGTTGGTAGAGGACACAGCAAGCAGATAGGGCGGTAGTTACCGATATTGTACAGGTCGCCCTTCTTGAACAATAACACGGTCTTGTTGGTCTTCCACTGAGTATGGACCTTGCAATCAGGCAGGTAACGTTTGAAGAGCCGAGCTAGTGTGTTTACGAGGACTAGCGGAAGGTTCCTCAGGTGTTCTAGTCTTATCCTGTCCGGACCTGGTGCTGTTCGACTTTTCACCGACGGCATGTCCTATTTCGGAATTGAGAACTAGTAGTGCAACATACCCATCCTCCTTTATTTCATATGACGGAAGGTGGACATGGCTATCGAAAAGATCCGAGTAGTATTCGTGAATGATTTTCTCCATTGCCTTTCTGGACGCTGTAACTGTTCCGTCTGGGCGTCGGAATGCATCTTGGTCTTGTAATTGGCGAAGCTTCGGTGGGTTTTGCTAATGCTTTTCTCAGCCTCTGCACCATCGACCATTACTGCTGCTCTTCTCTCTTTAAGATCTTCTTTTACCGCCTGTCTGCAGTGTTTTGCAAGTTCGGACGTTAGTTCGCGGTTTCCTGCAGCTCGTGCGATTCCTCGCTGGCGTATCAGCTCGAGTGTTTCTGGAGACAAACGTCCCATGGTAACTTTCGAACTCTCAGCTTTCATAGCGCTAACGTGAAGTTGCTGAATGAGCCGGTCGTATTCATCGACGATATTTTCGACAATGACATCTTCCCAACAGCCCACTGATGAACTGAATATGTCCCAGTTTACGGTGGTTTTGGGGCTTCGATTTTGGAATTTAGCAGGTTTTTCTCTTTTCCGCGAGAAATAGAATCTTGCATGAAGGAGACGATGGTCTGATCCGATGCAGAATTTTGGGACAACAGCGATATCGGTTAGGGAACACCTATTTACTATGATGTGGTCTATTTCGTTATGGTACTCTCCATTGGGAGACTCCCACGTCCAGCGCTGAGGAATTGCGAGTTATCATGGATCTGGAATTGCGAGTTATCATGGATTGTCTTGGTCGCCGTGATAAACTCAGACAGCTGCTCACCCTTTTCGTTCCATTCTAATCCGTGGTTCTCAATGTTACGTTCTTCAGGCATTCTTCTTGGTCCAATCTTGGCGTTGAAATCTCCAATGATGACCTTGAAGAATGTATGGTCTTCTCTGTAGAACTTCTCCATGTCCATTTAGAACGCTTCGACTTCTTCTTCGTCATACCTTGACGTCTTCGTATAAACGACGAAGATTGTCAAAACCGTAATTGATCCACACCTTTTTAATCGTAAATGTCCGATTCGGGTTGTAAGTTGCTCAAATGAATCGATATTCATGGACAAACTCGTGTTGACGAGAACGCCGACGCCGCCGACTACTATACTGTCGCATGTTCCGAGGGACAGTTCTTCTGCGGTATCATAGACAGCATTGAATGGATGGCGTCGCATCATCTCGTCCAGCCCGATAACCTCGTACCTTATCCTTCTTGTTTACATGAGCAAGTTCACTATCGAGGGCTCGGGTGCAAGCGTAGGTGCATTATTGGTAAAGATCGTCACCATAGTTCTTTGTAATCGAGGTAGCTTCCATTGGCCCTGAGATTTCAGCAGCCTCTCCGTACTCGTCCGACCCAACGCGGCGAAATTGTGGGCTCTTTCGGGGTCTGGGGAATGAGGCCTTTTTTTTTTTTTACTGTGTTTAGCATTTTTGATACCCACGTATAGCTTGCTAGGCTGTGAACGTGGGGGCTAGGTATACTCACCGGTGGCTTGCCAGACTCTCCCAGGGTGGACATGGAGCTTATTTGTTGGAGGTGACTCTTAACCGCCTCCCATATACTTCCCACTCACTTGATTTCAGGCTTTTGGCCGAATTGATTCGTAGGATGCAATCCGCATAAGCAAAAACGCCCCCGCACGCGCTTGCATGAATACGCCTACCAAATACAGAAAGTATGTGCCAAATCAGCGCAGCAGAAAGAGGTAGTCAACCCCTGGATCCACCTGAGTCTCAGGGAAGCAAAGGTCGTTTTTGGTCCGCGATTAACCCCCGTATCCGCCACCTGTGGACGGGCCACGTAGCCTCTCGACTAACCGGCTCGAGAGGCGTCGTATGAGTGAGATCCGTGGATTATATATTGTTACATATTGTATTATATATATTATATCATTATACTATATATTATGTATATGTATTATTATATATTGTGTTATATATATATATATATATATATATATGTGTGTGCTATATTTACACTAGCATCACAATCTGAACGTTTTGTTTCTTGCTGAAGTTTCACTTGTACTACACATCCAATGGAATATTGTTCTGTGGTAAACAAAATCATTGCGAGGTATTAGTATTAAGCCATTATTTTGGGCATTTATTCGCTGAAATGGTATGTTCTGTATAACCAATCTACACGATTCTTCGTTGTTCTATGTCAGATTTGCCGGTAGGTTCGTTCAAAGGAAACGACGAACGTCGTATTCCTTCTGTTTTCATAAAGAGGTCTAACCTCGTGTTCTTACTTTGCGCAATCGTAGCTGTATTGTTCATCACAAGGGCGATGTAGGTTAGACGACGATTTGGACCCGCTGGACGTCACATCCTGCCGAGGTTGGAAAGTTGGTTCCCAATTCGGCGCGCCCAACTACGGAAATGACAATACTCCAGGGGGAATCGACCACAGCAGCATTTAGCGACATTCGTAGAAAAGCTACAATCCCCATGTAGCCGCCGAACCCACACGCGAAAATTTCCAAGACCTTCATGAGTGATGGCTGGAAAAACGTGCAAGAAGTGCTCGGATCTGCACAATAGATGTGAAGACGAATGGTAAATGAACTCGCCTGAAAAGGACCTCAGCGAACTCGTTTTGAAATAAAGGAAAAGGTAAATTAACTCTTACACGGTGAATCTAGTTGTTCCTGGACGGCAACCGGCTTGTTCACCTGATTTCATGTTCTTAATACGAGAGTTGACGAAGAGAGAAGGGAAAACCACATTTCATTGAGTCTAGAAAACGTTAACTTCGTCATGGTGGAACAAGAGGAATTGTATCCTGGGCGCAAAGATTTGTAAATTCTAAAGGTTTTCATTGAAGTATTTTTCAAATCGACCGTCATTTAACCACGGTAGTGATACTATCTTCTTGAATTGTTATGCTAGCACGAGGTTGATAAAGATGTTTGTTCGGCTAACGTTTCGAGGTCTTCCTCTTCATTAGGACCAGTGATCCGAGTCAATGGTCCACAGTCGTTAGTCTTCTCGACGTGGGGTCTTTGTCGTTGTATTGAGTCGGTTTCTTGTTCAGTTGAGCACCGGTCTAATAAAATATCCTCAATTGGCAGTGCTCTTTTTCATACAGGACGTTTGTTGTTGATAATGATGATTAGTTGATAATAATATTTTCCTAACGGATAATGCATCTTGTATCACCTGGATCACCTGTAGTCCCGCTGATCGTCGAGTGACGTGATCGGGCGCCAGTAAATCTACCACTTTTCCCTGTCGCGTGCAGGAGTAGCCCAGTAGGTTCTGCTCGCTCTAGGGACTCGTCGAGCATCATATCTTTCTTGAAGGCTCTTTGTGAAGAACTCTGACCATGGTTCGATGGTCTTCCTGCAGTACGTTTGACATCCCGATGAATCCCGTCACTAACGCCTCTTGTCCATCGGTTGTCACTCATACGCATTATTCATCCTGTACCAGTCGGTATTATGTTAGCTAACATATAGCGAATAGCAGAGCAATATTTTCTAGCCCGACCATCATTTAACCTCGGCACTAATAATCAATAAATTCTTGGATTGTTAGGCTAACACGAGGTTGATAAAAAGTTAATGTGTGTGCTAGCTAACATATTATTGATTGCTGCAGGATGGATCATCCATTGCTTACCAAGTTATTGTCAGCGGCTAGTCATTATTAAAAACAATCAACGTGTGCAAAAAAGCACTGCCAGATGTGGTTGGAAGTTGCCTCATTGTATCGGTGCGAAGCCCAAATAATTTTGTTAGAGATCTCGTGAAATAAACCACTGAAAAGGAAACACATTGGTTTAAATGAATTCGTTAACCTTGCTCACCCAATCGAAGATAACATGCAATTAGCATGCTTCGTTAGGTGTAGTGTTGAAAAATCCGACACTAGTGCCTGTACGTTGTACGTGCAGATGGTCGCCGTATTTTTTTTTCTAGATTTAGAACATCGTTAGGAGATCGCTCTATAATCGACGTTGACAACTTTCGCAAATCGGGTTTTTTTTCCCAAAGTTTAGGAAATGAAATCCTTTATGATTGTGATTTTTGGAAAGAAACACACAAGGGCAGAACTCTGATTCTTGACATGTTGTCGAATGTACTCGACGATACTTCTGGCTTGCCCAAAAACGAAGACAGTGTTTTAGGTGCCTCCTAACCATCGCCGTTTCTTCGCAGTCACTTAATTGAAAAAAGTAGTGCAAAGATTCTCTAATATATTGGTGAGTGTCGAGGACCGCACTCACATTTTACCACGTGAGCTCACTGTGCTTCTGAAATAGAACATTTTATTCAGTCATTCGGTTGCTTATGCAAGCAGTTTTTAGTTGTTACTTTTTTTTGTCTATGCAATGTGTTTGATTTTATTTTGGAATATCTTATAATTTGTCCCCCGGTTCGGCTCCCTCCCCAACCTTCTCCTCTGGTCCCCGTAGGAACGCCTTATCCCGGCTATGTCAGGAACCTCTAGACATACTGTCATATTGATTAGTTTTTGTTTCGACCCAAATATAAAGCGGTCCTCTCGCCAAATTACCAAGTTTCCGAAGGCTTCGATGTAAATTTTTTGAACTTTAATGGTTTGTTATACTTGAAATTACATCGTGTTTTATTACAGGTGTTAATGAACAGTGTTATGTCGTTGTACGCTCTGCGCGAGAATCCTTTTCCTCAGCAGATATAAATGTTGTAAAACTTGAGTCTGAACTAAAAAAACTTACTGAGATGATGACCGCTCTACCTTTGCAGACTGATGTTGACAAGGTGGGTTGTTTACTTATGGACTCAATCTTCTTGTCTTCTGCTAGGTCACATTGATGTTTGACGATTCGTACTTTTTTACAGGACATAATTGGCGCTGAACTTGAAAACGAGATGATGCGTATGAGTGATGCAATTCGTGCAGCCGTAGAAGAGATTGAGAAATTACAACAAAAAGCTCGGATCAACACAGAAGGGATAAGGTGTTGTTGAGTTCTTTTTTGACCTCTTCTATAACGTGCTCTTCCACGCTCACCTTTGCAACATGTTTTCGTGTTAATTATGCCGAAAATAATTTTAGGTCCCGCAGTCTATTTTCTAGTGTCCATAACTCGCCCAAAAATATACCGATTTCTAAGCCATTAGAATTAAAACGTTTTCGCTACGTAGTGCAACTCTGTGAATCCCGTTCCGGAAAAGTTTAGGGTAAAATTGATGAATTTTTGAAGGACATCTTTGACGTCCTATTAATTTCTTGGCGTTTTACTCTGGTCACGTGATACCTGACCTTGACTTTAGTTGACAACCTTGGAGCTAAAGCCTAAATTTCGGTGGTTCGTACACAATTTCCGATAATTATATTACTAGAGTTGCAGGTATATACGGCAAACTCTCAGGAGAGTCGAGCTCGGCGTATGGATTGCTTATAGCATAGTGGTTAAAAAGTTTGTGGTGTATCCCTAAACGATGGATTAGTGCTAAATGCTTTCTCCTTTGCTTTTACAGTGCTTCAGGTGGTTTAGAACAGATCTTTCGCGGTGAAGAATCTCCGTCCAGTTAGTATCTAGGATACATGGCGCATCCTCAGTTGTTGAATAGAGGATGCAAAGCAACTCAAAAGCACCCTCGCACTATCCTAAGATTTTGCTGGATTCAAGGCATGAACTTTCTATTCGTGATACGCTCATACCTTCTGAATTTATGTAGACATATCCATGCATGCGTGCGTGAGTGTGGTCGCGTATTTGCAGACAGTATTCTGTAGATCACTTCGGCTAAAATTCAAGACAATTAATTAACCGGAAGGAACATGGCAGGTGTTTAAAACACCTCCAACAATTATACTCCATGGTCTCCTACTCTGGTCAATAGACGACGGTGATGATGAAGTCGAAGCGTACTATGTTAATTTTGAGAATCTCTATTGGGAAGACTATAACTTTTTTTATTAAATGTTTAAAAAAGCCATATTGGCTAACGTTCCAACCTTGTGGAATGTGGACTTTCGTTATTATTGCTTATTAAAGTTGAAATTATGCCGCACGTTGGAAGTGATATGTTTGAGGATCATTGTCATGTAATGTTCATTATGGCTATTTAGTGCTATCTGCATTTGTCTAGGTTTTGTATTTTAACAACAGGTTACTGTATGGCTTTGCAGTGGTACTATCACGAGACTGAAAGGGAGGAAATTAATCGCTTAAAGCTGAGCTCGAACACAAGTCTATTATTCGTAATACTTTACTTGATACTTGAATAGCCCGTCCTCACTGGTTATGCGGGCCCCAGCATAATCTCCATTTTCCCGAGATTTGTTAGTTAAACCGTTGTGGTTCCATGTAATCCTGAAGTCAAGCTGGCCAAACTCTGCCCTAGGTCATTACTACCACAGGCAATCGCAGCCTTTGTGGATCAGAGGGAGATTTGCCAGTAGGCGACTTTGATACCAGGATGATGGTGGATCTTGGTATTGGTTTACTCTTAACTAAACTTCCTGATAGGAACGCTGGACTCCTTCTCAGCTTGGGAGACCCTGCCAGGGATGAATCTCCAGCGGTACGTCGCAATCCGACCAGTACCACCTCCCAGCCACTATGAGGCGACAAACCGTTGGGAGGATCATTTGTAATAAAAAGCACTAAAAGACACATCTTTTTTTCAACATGACACAAGGTCATCATTTTGGTTAGCGAATAATTCTGAAGTAGTGGAAGTGACGAAAACATTCTCAGCAGCTGTTTAGTTATTGAATATTTACTGAAATAGGTGTAGTGACAGCTGTTTAGTGAGTACTTCGATGCGTATGTTACGTCATTCAGATTTTCATAGCGCTTAACTTGTTCGGCTTTTGCAGCGTTAGTTACGCAGCATGTTGTCAAGTGTTTTAGTGGAAGAGGATTAATTAGAGCATTTTCCTTGACCATTCATAGATGCACACGCTGCATTTTTTGCAGAATTTCAACCGTTTCGTGGCATTGTTTCTTTGTTGTAATCATTTTTCCAAGACTAATGATGTATCTCACTAGAATCATTCTGGATCTGGAAAAGACGAAGCTGACGGGACGTTAGTGGAATGAAATTTTTTAACCACCTGTTGTTAGCTTCATAATCGGAGGAATATTGGTTGTCCTTGCCTAGGTTTAAAAGTCAGTTTTTTAAACTTCTTCAAGAGTTGTAGAAAGGTTTACGATTCTCTATGTAGCAGTAGTTCATAGGAAGAGAATGAAAAGACGAAAAGCATGATTTGCGCTGCACGACTTGAACAAATAGCGGTAAAATCGTCGTCAAAACGTTTGCTATGCGCTTCTTTTACAAAGCAGAAATGGACTCATTTCTTTATAGTATTGCGATATACGGTGTAAAATAAATCCCATTCGATAATTGACAACATTTTCTCCAGCGAATTGAGTTGTACTAAGCTTGTAAGCATTTTAAAAATATAATCTGCATTAAAATACGGTTGTGAGAGTCGTCGCTGTATAATCATGGAGTGGTTCGTAGCTGATTACCATAGACGAGCGATTTTTCGTCATACGTCCTAACACAATAGAGAAATGGGTGTTCTTTGTTGCGCTGAACGAGCGCCGGTGATATTTCATTACTGCTATTGACTTTCCTTCAATTCGTATGGCATCGATTTGTTGAGCTTCTTTGACGTTTTAATTGTTCTTTATACTTACTTGATACTTAGACGGCACATTCTCAATAGTTGTGCGAGCCCCAGCCTAAATACCATTTTCAGGAGTTTTGCTGGTTAAGCTATTGTAATTCACTGAAGTTCTCAGGACAGCCTGGCCAAAGCCTGTTCCAGGTCGTCACCACCACAGGCACTCGCAGCTCTTGTGGATCAGAGGGAGATTTGCCACTATGTGACTTTGATACCAGGACGGTGGTGGTTCCTGGTGTTGGTTTGCTCATAGTTAGGCTTCCTGGTGGAAATGCCGGACCCTTTCTCAACTTGGGAGACCCTACCGGAGGGAAGAATCTCCTGCTGTACATCGCAATTCGACACCCACGAACATCTCTCAGCCACGATGAGGCGGTATACCGTTGGGGGTGATGGGGGAATTGTTCTTTAGGTGCTCCGAAACCGTTCAAATGCGTACACCTAGTTATTTTGGAAATTTTCGAACAGTTGCGCTTGCATTTGCAAGCCTTTAATTCATCGTCCTCGTGCGCGTTCTCCTTCATTTTGAACGTCAAATTCGCCACGACGAAATTTTTCCAAAGCAACCTGTTACACTACGCGTTCGTAAAACCTTCTTTGGTCCCACACTTTATCAATATTTTGAGCCTTTGCACTACACTATGACTGTGTTCGCATTCATAGATTTACGAGGGGTGCTCTCTCCACTGGATTCCACTCGAAGCGACTACGAACACCAACATCGCGATATCGACCAGCTGTGGATTATCGAGTCGGATCAGTGCGTCTTTAAGGCGAAGGCGCCAAGACGTTAGCCGACTAAAAGTTTATATCAATCGCGCGTTAGCTCAGTCATGTAGGAAATTGTTGATTATTATTGCAGAGGTTTGATGGAAGTCAGTTTTTAAGCTCGTAGAACTAAATTTTTCGGTGTTGCTGTGTAGACACCTGAGTTTCTGTGTAAAGTTCATGAGAAATTTATCGGAAACTATAACTTCGGCTATGCAGAGCAAACATGCATGGAATTGGACTTGCGTATATAATGCTCCAACATTCGGAAAAAATATCGTTAACGTATAGACGAGATATAAAGTTGCACATTTTTCATGTTACCAAACAAGTGTGGTGGTGATCCCAAAGGTTACATAGCTAGCCGTGCCCACGGCGTGGGAGCGAACCACTGACGGCTATTGCAGGGCACCTCTAACCACTGCTATTTGCTCTTGATTCTGAAAGTCTTATGTCTAACATCTGTATCAATTAGTTCATTCCAGATTAGAAGTGAATGAGACAATTCTCGGATGCTGTCAAAAACTAATGGCCGCAATCATGGCATTAGTTGCTGCCTCTAAAGAGCTCCAAAGTGAAATTGTTGCTGCTGGCAGAGGTGGGGCATCTCCACAGGATTTCTATAAACGAAATCATCAGTGGACGGAGGTAATAAATTTGAAAGTTCTGCGAGGATATCACTATTTCTGTGAAAACTTTTTTTTTGAGCAAAGTTGCTTTTCAGGGTCTTCTTTCTGCGGCAAAAACTGTAGGCGTAGCAGCACGTGTACTGGTTGAATCAGCTGATGGAGTAGTCACTAGACAGGGTAATGTTTGCGCACATATATATATTGTATATATAGGTACATGCATACGTATAGACATATATGCATGTGTATATTTTTATCTCTTGGATTATTAAGCTAACACGAGGTTGATAAAGGTGTTCATTCAGCTAACGTTTGTACATCTTCATCTTCTTCAGAGCCGATAATCCGGCTCGACGGTCCAGAGTTCTTCTTCTCGTTATGGCGTTTTCATCGTCGTGTCGAGTCCGATCTTTTTCATTGGAGCACTTCTCGTATGAGGCAACCTCATTCTGCTGCGCTGTTTCGTGCAGGACGGTTGTTGTAGATAAAGTTTGTCCGTTGATAATGATTTGTTTTTCAGTGGACAGTCTATCCTGCAGCGGTTGGTATTATATTGGCCAGCACATAGCGAACAGCGAATCACTATCTGTTCAATGATTGTAGTATTATATTAACATTAATACTCTGCATATACATATATATATACATATACACATATATATATACATGCATATATATATATATATATAACATGTCGGCCAACGGTTTAACGCCTCATCGTGGCTAGCAGGTGTTCTCCGGTGTCGGACTTCGATGCAGAGAGGGGATTCATCCCCGCGGCAGAGTCTCCCAAACAGAACAAGTCGGCGCTTCCATCAGGAATCCCAGCTCGGAGTAAACCAATACGAGGACCCACCACCGTTTTAGCGTCAAATTAGTCGTATAGTGGCAAACCTCCATCTGATCCACAAGGACTGCCACTGCCTATGGTGGTGAAGACCTAGGGCAGACTTTGGTCAGGCTGTCCTTGGGATTCCAGGGAACCACAGTGGCTAAACCAGCGAAACTCCGACAAAGTGAAGATTATACTGGGGCCCGCACCACCTGTAAGGACGGGTCATTCAAGTGTCCAAATATATATGACATGACATAACTATCAATAATGTTACTAATTATAATAGTTTTTTTTTACACAACCAGTCGTTCACGTCTGCTCTGCGGTTCCCAGCATTTCTCGCATTCGGCTCGTTTCCACGTTTTCATGATCCACGAAGGTCTTCCATCGTTCTACTTGTGGCATCGGTTGCTGCTTCAGGATTTTCCTTTCATTATGAATGTCGTTGAGTGCTGGTTGAGTACATTATTCCTGGAATCTTGAAATATCCGGGATAGAGCGTTCCCATTTGGATTGCAGAGAGTGTTCTGCCTTTTTCTTTTTCCAGGAGTGGGAAGCTTGATGAGCTCGCAGTGGAATCAAACTATGCTCGTGATGATCGGCACGAGTACCATTGTTCCACCCGCCTTCTCTAATTATAATACAACTTATTATCGACGAACAGTTATTATCAATATCCGACTTCTGTAAAACAACGCGACAGTGTGGGGTTGCTTCATTCGAGCATTCGACTCGGTGATGAAGCCACATCGAGAAGACGAACGGCTATGGACTGTCGAGTCGGATCATTGGATCTGATGAAGACGAAGACGTTAAAACATTATCCAAATAAACTTTTTATCAACCTCATGTAAGCTTAATAATCCAAGAAGGTAATTAGTCATTAATGCCGAGGTTGAATGATTAGTGTTTCCTTTTAATTTATAACGTTTTACATTGTTTTGAGGAAAATTCGAGCAACTGATCGTTGCCGCTCAGGAAATTGCTGCTTCTACGGCACAGCTGTTTGTCTCAAGTCGTGTGAAAGCCGATCCGGATTCACATAAGTTCGTTCATAATTGTTTTGTTCTTACGTTTTCGCTAATTCTGGAGTAATTTGTTAGACTTGCTGCTTTAACAACGTCGTCAAAGAACGTTAACCAATGCACTGCTCAAGTGGTAGCAGCTGTTAAGAACGGCCAAACTACATTGAATGAGGAAGGTAGTTTTTCTCATATTTATCTCCTTCAATAAATATTTGAAGTGTATGAGCGTTTAGTTTTGCAAATATCTAATTTTCGTTACTATTTAGTCTCTTTATTTAAGTACGTGAGAATAGTGTAATATAATTTGTTAACAGCATTATTCCTCTTTTAATCATTTAGTTTTCATTTATTATTGCAGAGAACCTTGACTTTTTAAATCTGACCCTTCACGAAGCGAAGAAAGAGGAAATGGAATCGCAGGTTCGTTACCCCAGAAGGACCAGAACTGCTTTTTTTTCGTATGAAGAGCTGTTTCGAACTGAAGTAGTCCAATGCTCTGAGAGAAATTAGTTCCATTGATGTGTTTTTAGGTACACATATTAGAACTGGAGCAAAAATTGGTAATGGAGAGAAAGAGATTAGCAGAATTGCGGAAGCGGCATTATCATATGGCGCAGCTGGCAGTAGCTGAACAAGTGAGTGCCATCATTTCTGCCTCAGTACCACACCATTGTTTTTGTTTTTGATCTAGAACGGCTGCATGTAAATACCATTTCAGAATGGTGGGAACGATGGACGTGACTCGTCGTTTGAGTTTATTGGCTAGTGTTCAATGCTTTGCTTAGATTTCCTATCATTCTTGGAGCTTGATTCTCTGATATTATGTGTGCCTGTTTCTCTTGTTGTGATACGTTCTCCATTTACTACTAGTTTATGCTTTTTGTACACATTTAATTAAGTATTGTATCCATCGCTTTATTCTGTTTCATAGGCTTGCAAGAATTTATTGTGACAGCTTGACGCTCTGCTGTTTCGTTGTTCTTGCGAGGGCTAGTGCAACTATGGCAAGCATATTTTTCGACTTAGTTTTACCATATTTTTTTCTTACAGATAAATCTTTTCATAGATTGTAAAATAGATTTATTTAGTCTAACATAGAATCTCTTATACTTGTCCAATACGCGTTTCTAGACTTTCACTTCTTCAAACTATAGCTCTTTCACTGCGTAAGTATAGTAGTAAGTCTCGATATTACTTCAAATGCAGAATAATCTCATTCTTGTGCAATCATCTCCATTTTAGTTGGCGCGGAACTAAGGTGATAACTTTAACATTGGTCGTAGTAATTTTGCTCTATGTAAAAGTTGATGTCTCACTTGTGGTCTGTGCGGAGTATTTGGCGGTAATTACCTCTCATATTTGTGCATTATGTCATTTGTGACATCTAGAAGGAAATATACAATCGTTTGAATGTTATGAAAGGGTGTGGTACTAAATGTTTTGCAGAAAGGCTCTTTTTCCAGGCTACATAAGTGAGGATGCATCATGATGATGTGCCCAACGAGAATGTTCCATTGCTGAAAGATGAGCAACGAACACAGCCGTATGTGGAGCAAAATGATGGAGCAGAGGCTGCGCACCGTGGAAGCATTGAGAATGTTGAGGATACAGGCGAGCGACGCACGTCAGGTGTCTACTTTGACTTTGGTTCCCAGGTGTAGTTGTTTTTCTATCGAAATGGTCATTTAAAATTGTTATGGCTAGGCGCAACAGTGACATGTCGTGTTTGTGAAGAGCAAATTGAGCTGAATGGCCGCGATTCCCAACACGTCGTTAAGTGTAGCGCTTGTCATGAAGCTACGCCTATTCGTCCGGCCCCTGCTGGCAAGAAGTTTGTTACGTTTTTAATTTTCTTTATGTTGCTCTTATTTGTATTTCCGTGCTATTATTTAAAGCTATTTATTTCACTACTAGTTCCACTACCATACATTTTTTAAGGTACGTTCGTTGTCCATGTAATTGCCTACTTATTTGTAAAGCTGCATCGACGCGTATTGCTTGTCCCCGTGGGAATTGTCGACGTGTCATAACACTTGGTAAATGAGATATCTTCTTTTTTATTCACGGTGTTTACTGAGGAATAGGAAGTATATCCAATTTTTGGAGTTTAGTTAAGGTGGAATATGATTAATGAAATGAAATGAGTTAACACATTCATGACTACTCCTAATTATGTGTTGAGGCCGGGATAATTCTTTTTCCAGGTGCGTAATGAATCACATGCGATTCATGTGGTCCATTTTTCCTCGCCACTCAAAAAAGCGTGTTCCTGTTTTTTATAGTTTTCGTATAATTTGTGTTTTCTAATTAACTTTTAATCAGTAAATTAAAATTAATTAATAAAATTAATTGTCATTAATTTCTATTTCTTTTCAAACTCCTTTATTAAATTACAAATTTATGCTCTGTGTCCTCTATTGGTGTAGTTCTATGTTTTTGAAACATTTTCAAGTGTTGAATATTACAAAAGGTAAAAAACCGTTCAGCTTCCAAGTTATCAGCTATCAGTTTCGCAACATGTCTATATTTCAGCGCTTTTATATGTTTTTGTATTCATCTCCTAAATGCTATAGCCATGTTCCATAAAAGTGAAATCAATGCGCAACAGTAACATAAAGCGTCGAGAATTACATCAGCGTGTTGATCAATCCTTGAGGGATGCGCCATGCATTCGACTTCATTAAGTATCGTTGGAGGTGATTGAATGCATACCTGGCCTTTACAATGACTCGCGATGGCCTGCCGATGTATTGAGCCAGTGCTGCTATCCTCCCGGACAAATCTGGTACGAATTTACCGACCCCGAAGGGATGGAAGGCTTGGTGAGGCATGGGCGTGGGGATCGATCCCACATGTGCACCCCAACCACTGTGCCACACGCGCCCTTCACACCGACAATAGTAGAATAAATTCTGCAATTGGCGGACTAATTAGGACCAGAAATAATTTACGTATTCTAGTATTGTACAAGTAAGAAAAGCCATGGTCAAACGAAAGTGTAAGAGGGTTTTAGATGAAATGAGTTAACAAATCAGTAGTAATCATTCTTTATACTCAAATGTATTGTATTATTGTTAGAGAAAATTACAGTCATTGCTGGAAAGCACGTTTGACTTTTTTTGTTTTCTAAACTATGTGTTTACGAAATCCTTGCGAAAATATGCACAAAGTGTGATGAAATGAATTTAAAGTCCAAATTTACATTCGATTTCGGTAGATGGACTGCTCTGCACATTGAGTTTGGCAAAATCCTGGAAGAGAATTTAAAATTATGCGAACCTTCCAGCAATTTTCTGAAAGATTGGCAGGATATCACGGCCGCTCATTTGCTGACATTCGTACCTGGCAAATCTGCACTAGATATGGTCATTGCAAAGGTTATAAAAGGCTGTTACTCTTCGCTAATAGCCACCGAGAGTGTGTTATCGATGACTGTGGGGAATTGGTAAGAACCCGTAATTTTTAGAAACAAACTGTGTGGGACCACACAGATGACCACTCGCTGTGTAAATCTGCTTTGGATTATCTTAGTACCTTCATCAGCAACAAGCTATAATTCAAGATACACGAGATGCCATGGCACATTTACGGCGGCGTTGATGTTATTTCACACATGGGAGATACTGGCCGGTATGAGTTGATTTCCTGCACTTTCTTGGAGTTTTATTTTGTCCACAAATTTTCCATGCTACATTTACTGGAATTTATTGATAGCTTATGAGTTCGTTTTTTACGACGAGTAATTGCCTCTGAAGTGATGTCTCCCCTACATCTGAACACTGGCGCTCGACAATTAGGCACACTTGGCTCCTACAAGATGGTAAATCAATCAGGAGACTTGTATAAATGTAGTGGAAACTTTTGTAGCAGTTCTACCATTAATGGGTTTCCATTTTGATGAGCCTCTGGAAGGGGACGCCTCTTGCAGATTTCATGATAATTTTTTGACCTTCCCATTTAATGCTTTGAAAATTTAATTTCTTTCGGCGAGTAAGGATCAGATTCTTTCTCTGGACGGTACTATTAGTCAGGGAAACTGTCCACACAAAGGCGCCTTTATTCATCAAACAGAAATGCATTTTCTACGTGAATCTATGTTTATGTGTAGCGTAAGGGTTAGAGATGCCTTGCAAACACACGTGATTGTCGGTTCAGCCTTGCGTGCTTGTCTAACCAAGCCTTCCAGGGTCATCAAGTGATATCGGGTTTGCCTGTAGGCGTAAAAACACTAACTTTATAAATCGCCGCAAGTAATTATCTAGATCTAGGCTAAATATGCATTCATTCACCTCTACAAAGCTTATTGAAATCGAGTGCATGGTGCAATACTACAGCGATTGATCAACGCGGAATGCTTTGCGCTTTTTTAAATCACCTTTACTGCAATTGAGTTATCTTTCTTCTCAACTTTTAACAAGGATGTAGAAACAATTGCTTAACATTATCAATTACAAAAATATTAATAGTTGCTGTATCAGGGAAGCCCGTATATACAACAAATGTACTCTTGCAATGACAGCAAAGTCTTCCCTTAAGACTCCAAGTTTTCAATTCTTCAGGTGCTTCACTTATCAAGAAATTATTTTCGTCCATTGGTTGAATCATATGAGGTTCTATTTTGGACAATCATTGTTATTTCATTTCTAATTGCTGAGGTGAATTACGGTTGTTGGGTAAAATGGACGAATACAAAAAATATTAAAGCCTGCGTAAGTAATTATTTTGTGAAATCGACTATTAAAACCGAGATTTCGGGTTTTTCTCTGTCCGCACACAAAAGTTGAAAATGTTCTAAAAGCACGTAATCATGAAAAGACATTGAACACGGTATAGTATGAAGAGTGAAGAAATCACATAATATTTCTGTTAATAGTGGGAGTCGCATATTAGACGTGCTTGTGGTTTCCAACCTAGTTAGAGTGGTAGAGAAAAGATGTCGAAAACGCACATTTCAAATAGAGATTCAAGCCCCCAGGTTATGCGCATTCGGGACTCTTTTCATTGACTACAGTGCAAAAGTGATACTGTTTGGAAATTTAAGCGAACACGTTTTGTTAACTATGAAATGTGTTGATGAAAACCAGTAGAACTTACTACCGACCACTTGCAAGTTCTGCAATTCTTTGATTTTCTGAAACTGAAAAAATGTTTTATTCCGTCCTTTCTACGTTTGATTTCGTATTTTGAAGACAAAAACATTGAAACGAATTGATTTTTATCCGACACGATGGTGTTGGACTGTGCAGAGCGCATTCATAGAAATTTTTACAAATTTAGATTTTTGCTTCATTTTTCGAGAATTTAAATTTTAATCAAACTTAGAATGTAGAGAATATTTTGTGAAAATCGTATGTCTTCTAGAGAAAATCAAGGTATTCCTGAAGCCTATTAAGATCTCAGTTCCTGTTTTATGTAGATGGTGAATTATCGGTTGTAGTCAAAAATAGGCCTAGTTAGGAATATATTAAAAAGGGAGATATTTATATCATTTTCATTCATTAATAAACCTTTTTGTGGCTAATGGTTCATGAAAAAGGTTCATAAATATGTGTGGTCCATAAAAAACCTTATTCAGCTAACGTTTCTGTGCTTTCCTCATTTTCAGAACCTGATTGATCCATGTCGATTGTCCATAGTTCTTCTTTCTTCTGATTTGGGTCTCCTTAATCGCATCGAGTCGAATCCGTAGGAGCACTACCCGTGCGAGGTAGCTTTAATCGGCAGTACCTCTGATGCAGGATGGATTATCAGAAGAAGAACAGACGATTATCGACAAGCAATCAGTATCAACAACTGTAAACATTCGACTCGGATCAGTCCGGTTCTGAAGAAGACGAAAGTCTCGAAATGTTAGCCGAATAAAGTTTTTTGTCAACTTCATGTTAGCTTATCAGTGGAAAAAATTCATGTTTTTAACATGAATGAATTTGGTCATATGGAAGCAGGTGAACGATGACGTGATACTAAACTAGCTGTTACATTTATAGCTGTGCGGATTCTCCAACCCTTCTACTCTGCGTCTTTTGGTTTCCATCAATTTGAAGTAAATCAGCTGATGAATAGGTCTTTCTTTTCTACCAGATTGGTCATTTAGCACTGTTTGAACGGGGAATTTTTAGGTCATCGCGAACCTCAAGGTAGTGCTATACGGGCCCCGGCTGGCAGTTGTCGCGTACAATGCGCACATTGTTCTGAAGTATTTCTCTTCAATACTCTGAATAATAGTCTCGCGCACTGTCCTCACTGTAAGAGAAAGTCAGTCGTATTTTCCCTTTTTTATTTTCTTCTTATTCTGTGAAATGCCTCAATTTTTGTGTTCGAAAGTCTTTCTTCAATTTCAAATTTTCTGATTTTAATGTTGGATCTATTATTTTTTTCTACATTTGTCGTTTTTTAGGTCAACTGTTGGTGGGTTCGCAAGACGCCGTGCTTTAATTTATCTTGTTACAGCGGTGACGACCTTAATATTTTCTGTATTATTAACTATCATGACAGCAACGACTGTGGGTTTCATTTCAACCGCATAAATGCTACAAGTCTGATGTAGTTCCACAATTTATATCAAATTTACTTTCTTTACTGTTTAGGCCTCGCAACATCATATTGTTTATGGAGCATGGGCGATTTCATATCTCGTTTCCATTTACCTTTTCTACAGTTTCTTCAGATTTTGGGTAGTAAAGTTGAGCACTGTCCTGGGACCGGTATGAGATATAAATCAGAGAATTTTCGTAATTTCTTGTATCTTTGGAGTTTATGAAAGGTGTATCCGATATGTCTACCCTTCTGTGTACATGTGTAGAAGGATTAAGCAATTCGATTAGCTGTTTTTATTGATTTTTAAGGTGCTTACGTTTCCTGTTGCTTCCATTACCTTGTCTCCCCGAGCATCTGCCGTTTTAGGCAGAAGAGCCTTCATTCCAAAGTGTTCTTTGTAATCATTGCTTAACATATGTCTTCTTTTTCATGTTCTTTGTTATAACCAGCATACATACCACTTGTGATATCAATGGAAATTGATTATTCTTATGTTTCTTTTACATGTCCTTTCATGATATCATCAGTGTTCATAGGTTGTACTGTGGAATTCATTTAGCATCCTACGGTAGTATAATGAGACATGTAACCCTTCATCATATATCGTGTATCATGAACACAGTTTCATGTTTTGTGCGGGGAATGTTTCTTTAAGTTTTCATAAAATTTAATTTTACGTGAATGGGCTATTTACATGACGGTTACATACAACCGAAACATTCTGCGAATAAAATAAAGAATAACCTTCATATTCCATGTAAATCCTCCATAGATCCTGACATGGCGTCTCCTTAGGTTCTACGGACCGAGACTTCCTATGCAGCGGTTGGAGGTAAGAGCTGTACCAGAACTAGTTCTGGACTCCGTTTCTATCTTCGGAACTTCTTGTAACCGTGCGGATCTCTTTCCGTCGAATATTGTATCTTTAGGTACTGAATCTATATCGTGATATCATACGATATTCGAAGACCTTGAAATATACGGATCGAACTTACTTCGTCTTAAGAATTCGTGAGGAGTTTGAGCGCAATCGAGCTTCCTCATCTCAGTCCATTCGCTGCTACAATGTAAGTTTTTAAATATGGATCTGAGACTTATCATTAGCATTGTGGACACTTGTGGGGAATATCGATACGATCTACTTAGTTTTCTGAATAATTTCTTTTTTCTAAGAGAGGGCGACAACTTCTTCTGCTGAAGCATTTTATTTGAGAAACGATGGTTTGTGTACTAGGAATCGAAGGCTCAGCGAACAAAATAGGCGTGAGGATTTTTGTTTCGGGCAGCGACATAAGTTTTGGCATAAAATGTCCTATGAAAGCTATCTAATAAAGGTTGGCATTGTGCGAGATGGTGAAGTGGTATCCAATCCGCGTTCGACCTTCCATGCTGTGACGGGGGAAGGTTTTAGACCCAGCGAGACTGCACAACATCACCGTCAGCAAGTAGGTCTTATCAAAATATGCTAATTCTATCCCTATCCTCTTGTGAAAATTGTTTTCATAGTTTCTGCTTTTCTTTAGATTTTACGAATACTTACTAAAGCCCTAAAAGATGCCAAAATTAATGATCCAGAAGGGGAAATTGATGCTATTGCATATACCAAAGGACCAGGAATGGGCGCGCCGTTACAGGTACGTTGCGTACTACTGTCTTGAAGCAGAGATATTGGATCGCACTCGTAGTCATATGAACATAAAGAAGCGACATTTCAGGTCGGAGCTGTTGTGGCTCGCTGTTTGTCACTGACTTGGTCTCTACCACTGATTCCTGTTAACCATTGTATAGGTCATATCGAAATGGGTCGTCTTATCACTGGAGCTGATAATCCAATTGTTTTATATGTTAGCGGTGGAAATACACAAGTTAGATGTTAGCGTATCGCATTTAGCGCCTAAAGTACATATATATATACATATATATATTATATATATACATATATATATACGCATGTTTGTGATCGGCTTTCTATTAACTTCAGCATTGGATTATAATTGCGTCGTTTTTTTGTTCAGCAATCGCGATGTTGTTGTACAACATACATTTACATCCATACAAAAACCCACAACACAACGGTAGCTGATGTTTCGGCAGTATCGCTTTCTTCAGAGCCTGGAAGGGTACACTGGTACGCAGTTTACTACGTCAAACGCTTCAACAATGCAGACAGAAAGGCGAAAATCTGAGTGATAATTACACGATGATCAGCTTCTCGAAAAAACCCACTTGTATTGCCTGTTTTCGTATGGAAGTAAGTGTATGATGTATAACAACATCGCAATTATTGAACAAGAAATCGAACAAGAAAAAATATGCATATACATGTATATACATTGTAAAGATTAATTATACTGATATGTACGTGTATGTATGCATAGATGTATAATATATACACATACGTAGGTATACGTGTGCATACGCATATATACACATACGCATCTGTATATATGTACTTATATACATATATATATACATGTGAATATGCATTTTTAGAAACTAATAAAATGATGTGGTTATAGCACAACATCTCAAGGTACTAAAGGTGTTTGACCATCCATTCGTGGTCGTGCCACAAACCGAAATTTTTGGCTGGCTGCGTAAAAGACCTAAATTGATTTTTCATAGGAATAAAAAAGGTGTGGTTGCTAGCATACAAATTTACATATATGTATATGTAAATTTTGCAATGTCATATAGTAAATGTCAAATATGTATATATACATATGCATATGTATATATACATACATGTATACATATGTGTATATGTATATATATGTGTGTATATATATATATAGTAAGGATTGTCCTAACTTCACTTTTTGCCCTTGTTCGTTTCAGGTAGTTTCTTATTCGCACTCCAAATACCGCGTATTCGGAGAAACGATAGATATAGCAGTCGGTAATTGTCTCGATCGCTTTGCTCGGATTGTAAAACTTCCTAATGATCCAAGTCCTGGATATAACATCGAACAAACGGCTAAACGAGGTTTTTTTTTCATCTTTTCTTTCCAAATATATGAATATGATGTATGCCTTGGCAGGAGTTTAATGTAATACTTTCACATCTTTTTAATCATCAAATTTATTTAAACGCGACTTTGTTTTGATGTGGTCACTTTGTTAGTTATTGATTTGAACCCGGCACCAAGGCGGAGAATGGATGCTTGATCTCTAGAAATGTGCAGGCTAGCCGAAGTAATCTCAGTTTACGGCTATAGAAGGTTACGGAATACGTACCATGAACATTTTTGAAAGTTTGGAGAAGGTGATCATCGGATGCTGAGTCCCTATGCTTAATGAGCTATTATTTCCCGGTCGAGGAAAGCAAAAAATGCATAGCTACGTTCTCCTTCTATCATATGAGATAAAGGAAGATGGATATGTCCCCTTCCGAAATCCGACATGCTATTTCGTCGGTGAGAAATCGCACAGAACCAGGTTCGGACAGGACAAGGTCTGAACACCTGAAGAACCCTGCGCCATTCCTCCTAAACACAGTGACTTTGCTCTTAACATGCTACTTGTCCGAATACAAGGTCCCTACTCAGTGGTAGACCAGTAAGACCATGCTATTGTTCAAAAAGGGTAACCACCAAGGTATCGGCAACTGTCATCCAATCTGTTGGGTGTCTATCGCTTATAAATTCTTCACTAGAGTAATCTTAAAGAGGATTAACAGAACACTGAGTGGAGGACAGCCATTTAAGCGAGCAAGGTTTCGGAAAGGATTCAGTACGATGGAGCACATGAACTATAACGGAGTACAAAAGACCACCCTGTCTAACTTCATCGATTTAAGGCTCAGTTGAGATAGAAGCAGTCAAGGAAACCCTGGACAGAAATGGCGTCTCTACTCAGTATCTAAAGATTTTTCGTGGACCGTATAAAAATTTCACAACCAAAATGTCACCATTCTACATCGGTATTAGCATCGACGTGAAAAGAGAGGTTAGGCAAGGTGATGAGGCAATCGCACCAACATTATTTACCTCAGTCCTCGAGAACATCATGCGAACATTGGAATAGAAAAACATGGGAGTGAAAATGCATGGTTGACAATTACACCATCTTCGCTTTTCTGAAAACATCGTTCTTATAAGAACCGAACAGTAGTCAGGTTGAATGAGTGTTTGCTATCTTAGTAAAGCCTGTGGTATTGGGCTTCCACTAAATTTCATAAGAACGATGTTTGTACGAGCGGATTGGTTACATATGGCTGATACATGCTCAACGAAACGAATATCTACGAATGCTCCAGCTGCGCTACGTCTATCTACGTCGGGAAATCAATATGATGAACGATCTAGCTCTAGAGCTGAGCAGAAGAAAACGAGCAGCTTGGGGAGCTTTCAAGAGCATCGAGCATGTAGTGAAGAGAACAAAGAACGCCGGACTCCGTGCCCACCTTTTCGACTCAAAGGTACTTCCTGCTCTAACATATGCGTCAGAAACCTGGTCACTGCGTAAGCAGGATGAAAGGTCACTCAGCGTTATCGAATGTGTAGTCGAAAGGACGACCCTAGGAGTATCCCGTTCCACATAAGTAAGGGATGGTATCCGAAGCTCTTATCTGCGTCAACGATCAAAAATCAAAGATGCCGTTCTGTACGCCAAACAGTCGAAGATAAAATGGGCCAGACCCGTAAGGCGTATAAGCGACAGCCAATGGACAAGAGCCGTTAGTGACTGGATTCCGGGATGTCAAACGTACTACAGGAAGACCACCGACCCGATGGTCAGAGTTCTTAACGAAAGGCCTGGAAGAAAGATGTAGTGAACAACGAGTCCCTAGAGCGAGCAGAACCTACTGGGCTACTCTTGCACGCGACAGGGAATAATGGAAGATTTACTGGCCCACGCTCGAGTCACTCGACGACGAGACTACAGGTGATACAGGTGATATATAACATATGTATATATATATATATATATATATATATATATGACGCTCGCTCGAGTCACGAGTCACAACGAGGCGAGAAGTAATGCCGGTGATGTGTGGTATAAGGACAGTTGTGTTGGAACTCTTATAGTATTAAGTGAAGTATTGTTAAGAAAAGAAAATTAATGCATAGAAATTATTTGAACAGCACTTTAAACTATATTTTATGAAATAAAAGTATGGGAAGGGTGTGGATCTTTTACTAAAATTAATATTGCTTTAGGAAAAAGACTTTTGGAATTGCCGTATACAGTGAAGGGGATGGATGTTTCTTTCTCTGGTATATTGTCCACAATCGAAGGCAAAGCTCCACAGCTTCTGGCATCTGGAGAGTACACTGTGGAGGATCTTTGCTTTTCTCTACAGGTGTTTTCAGTGTTATATTTAACAAATTTTCGGTACATAATGTTTAAGAAAAAAACAAAGGCACGTTTTACACTTGGTAAGCATAAAAAGTTATTTTTCTACCGAGTATTTAAGGGACACAACTTTGACGTGTTTTGTAAATCGAAATAATCACCAGAAAAAATTATGTATTTTTTCCATTGGGTTGCAAATTTGACTTCTGTTAACATCTAGAGTCGGGGAATCCACTTCCTATGGCATCTATTTAACACCTAATGTTTTTTTTCATATATGTTGCTAGTTGATATCAACTCAATCTGGTCGATTTGACTTCCTTCCCATCCTGACCCCATGTCTTTTGTTGTATATATCGATTTGTAGTCTCTTTTTTCTTACATATTGTCTACGTTTTTCTTCATATTCTTCCATGCTTTTGGAACATTGATAACTCTTGTGTGCTCTAAAAAAACTCTTATCACATTAGCAGCATTAGATAGTCAGCTCTTCCCAACAGTTTACCGCCTCATCGTGGGTGGGAGGTGTTCCTGGGTGTTGGACTATGTTATATAGCGGTAGGATTTTTCCCCTTGGCAGGGTTTTCCACGCTGAAAAGGAGTTTGGCGTTTCCGTCAGGAAGCCTAGCTAAGAGTAAACCAGTACCAGGATCCACCACCGTCTCGGTACCAAATTAACCAAATTAGTCGCGTGGTGGCAAATCTCCCTCTGATCTATAAGTGCAGCGGTTGCCTGTTATGGTGATGACCTGGGGCAAACTTTGGACAGGTGGAATTCGGAACTCTAGGGAAACTTAACGGCTAAACGAGCAAGACTCCGAAAAATGCAGAATATGCTGGGGTTCACAAAATTAATGGGGCGGGTCTTCCAAGTATGCAAGTTATTAAGTAAGATAGTTTGAAAACACACATGGAATATATTTCGGTATTTTTTATGTCCGCCCATACCTCATGCTAACCACGATTCATCATAATGATTGCAAAGAAAGAAAAAAAAGAATAGTTTGGAAAATCACATTTCATAAGGAGTTACTGGACTTCCGATATGGCCTATGCATGCCATTTTGGGTATCAAATTGTGGGGGTGGGATGAATTTTTTTCAAATCTAAACTTACTTGGTTCATCTCAGTTTTGCTGGAAATTTAGGCGACCATAGCAAAAACAATTGCACATAACAAAACAATTTGTCATGTAAAGCGTGTTGAAGATCAAATGTCCAAGGAGGGTACGATAGAGACATCTGCGTGCCCTCTTCAACGGTAACAATTTCTGTCAAGAAAAGCGTTTTTTTTGTAAATTACTAAGTGCAAAGAATAGCTTTCAAGGTTCGACGCCTAGCGCAATAGACTTTACTGGTTAAACTATTAACGGAATAAAAAACGCACATTAAAAACCTGCATCAAAACAAACAACGACAAAGAAAATGCCGGTATGAACGCCGGCCGTTCTTCCCACCTACCGCAAATGGGTGGAAATACGTTTAAGTCATATTCAAAGTGTTCATATCAGATTCTCTGACGTTGTTAAAAATCTCCAGAGGCCGGTGTTGTCTCTCGATTACTTCGTCCTTGTTTGTTCACAAAATGTCCAATTTGCTTGAATAAGTGACAATCTGTAGGAACTAGGTTAGTCGAGTGAGATTAATGTGGTAGAGTACCGTATAGCTCGTTCTATTTCTGAGCCACAGTTTTTGAAACGTGTTCTACATGGTCGTGCAGGTCCGATTTTTTTCCCTTTTCCGATTGAGTAATGATTGCTGAGTTTCTTCTTTTTTTTGCGAATAGGTTCAATTTCGGAACCATAGGAATCCAGACGCCGAACTTTTTGATCTTCACTGAGATGACGAGAAACCTTACTGTTCTAGTTGATATTAGATGTCTTGCTAATGAATATAATGTGTTAAATACGTAACTCCCATACTACTATGTCTTCTATTATTTATCTTCTATTAGTGCCTATTCCAAATAAAGTACTTAACCGGTTACCTTGAAGAAGAATAATGTTGAAGTATAATCACAATACAACCACAACGTTGCTGAGATATTTGCAAAACTCTGGACCGCAGGTGTCTATGGTGGGGAACGAACGCGCTATTATCCTTTCCGGGGAGTAACGCGTTCACCACCACACCATGCGGGTCCTTTGTTTCGCACGTCTCTCAGCTATTTCTATCGATCTTTTTGCCACAGCAATCACCCGTCAGCGGGGTTGATCTGGGGAGCGCAAATCGGCATAGAACCCAGTTAAGCTATGGCTGCAGTTGAAATCACAATGTTTAACGTTTTTGTTTTCTGCCTTCTATAATTTTCATGGCAGGTTACTAAGCGAAATACAACCACAACGTTGCTGAGATATTTGCAAAACTCTGGACCGCAGGTGTTTGCGGTGGGGAACGAACGCGCTATTGTCCTTTCCGGGGAGTAACGCGTTCACCACCAAACCATGCGGGTCCTTCGTTTCGCCTATCTCTCAGCTAGTTCTGGCTGTGTTGAAATATTTGAAGTAGTAAAAATCAGAGTAGTAAGAACGGTATGGAGGACCAGACGGGATAAGCGCAAAATGAAGTAGGAAACATTCCTTTCATAACCAACCTAAGAAGAGTAGTTTTCATATGGTTCGTATTTCCATACCTTTAAATAAAATAATTCAGGAGACAGTGTTTGCAATGCTGGTAGAAATCACTGAACGGGCTATGGCTCATACGGGGAGCAAAGAGTTGCTCGTTGTGGGCGGAGTAGGCTGCAATAAACGGCTTCAGGTATTATTTGTGACTCTGTATTAATGTAATGTTTCGAAAACACCTTCTTAGGTTATTAAGTTAACATGAGGTTGATAAACAGATGAATTCGGCTAACGTTTCGTCGGCTTCATGTTCAGAACCGGATATAGAGAATTCCTCTATCAGATAGAGAATTCTCTATCTTATCTAACTAATACATTCTATGGGTCGATGGAATACACGTTGCTACAACCCCGCCTGCGTGCCCTACGTCCATGTCTCGTTCTGGCCAATGGGTAAATGGGTACGACGCTCACTTGGACGTAGCCACGTCCACTAGCACGATCACTTGGTCCGACGACGCCGTCGAGAACGCCGTGGCCAGCGCCATCATTGTTTCCGCTCCGCTCAGTCTTGCCTTGCAGATTCATTGGCTTATGTCGTAATGATATTAAGTGTAATCCTTAGCTTTTGCATTGCTGATATTAATGTTATCCCAAGTCCGACTTTCTATTAACCTCGGCATTGTTTGAATAATTCTTTCTACTTCTGTTCAGCAATGTCCCGTTTATACTGCCCTTCATTTCAAATGAAGTAAGTGCAGCTATTAAACGCTGTTCAAGAAGGGCCAGTCTAGAGAATTCGGTAACGATAATCGAAATACCACCGAGTAATCTAAGACGCCAGCTAGTTCGTAACCGCCTATACGACCGTCTATGTGCAACGCAAAATTGCATAATTTGCCCCAATGGTAGAGACGGTGACTGCATGAGTTCGGGTACAGTCTATCTGATCTCTTGTAAAGCGTGCGGGGACGAATACGCTGGTGAAACGGGTAGACCACTTTGCGTACGTAGAAAAGAACACCTAGTCGGTAAACGTAAGCAAACTCCACTAGGTACGCATAGCACGCAGAAACATAACGGAGAAGATTTTGAAGTAAGGGTTACGATCCTCGCGCAAGAATCGAGAACACGAGCGCGCAAAACTCTAGAGGCATTCTGGATAAATTCCAAGAATCCGAAAATGAACCGCAGGGAGGAATGCCTTGTTATCACGCGCGATATTGGACAGTATATAAACCTGTTATTCTGATGGGAGGGGCACATTACGCTTCCATGTGAATTCTGTGCGGTTGGTCTTCACGCGACATACTCAGTGGAAGACTCATAGAGAGCGGTGAATGTGCAGAGCTGTGTTAAATGTGATTGAAATCTTGGTTTAGCGTTTTCCCTGTATGGTTATGGAGGTATTTGGCCGAATAGATTGCTGTCAACTTGACCTTTCCAGGCTCTGAGGAAGGCGAAATCCGAAACGTCAGCTTGTACGTAAATAAAGGAATAAAATAGCACCTCGTGTTTGCTAAACAGAAGTAGAAAGAATTAATTTTATCGTTGATTCTCGTGTAATTACGTTGTGTGTGTTAACATAAGTTAAACACACATTGCTCACAGTTATCTTACAAACAATTCTTCACTCTTACTCACTTCCGCGAACGCTTTTCATATTTTTGCGCTATGGGCCGTTACACCTGATTGATCTGAATCGATAGTTCACACCCAAAATTCCGTAAACAATATTTGGTATTGTGGAATACTCCCGGCGGTTCACCGCCTCATCGTGGGTGGGAGGTGTTCGTGGGTGTCGGGCTCAAGAGGACGAATGCTGAAGAGAGCCACTCATTTATGCACGTATGAGTCTGTGAATCACATTAGGTAACCGTATTCGTCGGTCGCAGGCAATTCAGTCACAAAATGCTGCTTTGTGTCAATCACTGCGAATCCAACCACGTTCGTTAACAGTGTTCACGTGAGGACGAACGGAAAAGATGATATGCTGGACACCATTCGTTTCATGAAAACATGTTACTCAAATATTCAACGCAAGGTTATCAACTCGTTTCTCAGGAAACGTAACCGCTTACTTGTTCCTTTGTTAGTGATTGGATTTTTGATCCATAAGTTGACGTCTTTTACTTGAGCAGACACAACATTGATTGTCCAAAATTTTCATTGGTGTCCTTTGAGAATTTCGCCCTCTTCGGAACCCGGAAAGCTCCAATAAATGCGCGATCTACTTGTGCTAATGCTTTCAGAACCCTACAAGAAAACCTGAAACCTGGATTTCTTTCAAAGGAGAAATGCTTTATTTTAGTTTTGTTTTTAATAAATCCTCCAATTGTCGAAGGAGACTAGCTGTCCAAAATTTACACTGGTGAGGAGTGTCCTTATAAGACGTCAATAAAAAATCACCTTGAGGTATGGAGAGAGTTCACGTCTGATTACATGGCTCCAGCCTAGAGTTCAACTTGGGATATTTGAGATTTATCCAGAGCGCCAACACACTTTCGTGCGCTAATGTCAAATTTGTCGAAAATTCGGTTCAACTTGACTGATCTTAGTTGCATAGCATTCACTTTCACTCAGTTGTTCTCGCAATGCAGTCTCGCATGTTAAGCTAGAATATTTTAACGAAATGGTGTCACCTGGTAGAGTTCATTCCTTTATGATGGCGAGGAAATAGGAGGTTCATTTCTGTGGATGTTGTTTGTTCGTAAAAAGGATTTTCTCTACCGAGCAGAACGCGGTAGTTTTTCATGAGTGAATCGATCGAATTGTGCGATACTCGGTAACGTTTGTGCGATCTTCCCTATGCAACTACAGAATACCACAACTTAATACTTTGTTGTTTGTGCCTATACCAAACAACAGTTTTCCACTATCACAAAAAGTAACTCTCATGTGGCGTCGTGTCTTCTGCAATACTTCGGTGACATCAATGTTTATATTTAGCTTTCAACATCAGGTCCACAGCGGAAGATGGGAATATGCTGTTGTTGTTAATAGAGGTCTTCACAATAGTGTGTTTCGACGGCATGTGACGGCCTCGATATTTCGGCTTATATTCCTAGGTTAATCAGCTGAGATAGCATACCTTTCAATTCTTTCCCAATAGTGTTGCATTGGATCTTTTTTAGTATTAGAAGAATATTCCTTGTTCTCACTGTTTACACGAAGATATAACCGCGAGAGCTTCTTCATGCTCTTCTAAAATAGGTTTGGAGCTTGTTTGTTAATAACAACGCCAAGCCGCCTTCCTTGTGCTTCCCAAGAACTTGATTTTTTTTGTGCAAGCAAAATACGCTGAACAGTGTGCACGGTGAAGACATAAAACCATATTTTGGGCTTAATTTATTTGTGTATTTTTATACGGGAGATGTAACGATACGGCATAGGAAGAATGATAGTTGTCCTTTAAATTCACATACATTAGAAGAACACCGTACAATCGCTTTTTGTCTCCATTTAAACACCTGTCCACCTTGGGGAAACGTCACAGTCTCGTTAGCATTTTATTTGAACATGTGACCGCGAGAGAGCTTTGTGAGAGCAAACCTGTCCGTAATTCCTAAAAATTAACATGGATTAGTTCGAATCGCGTCGGTCAAGGATTGTGCGTTTAAATTTTCGCCACATTCAAAGTATTTTGTTAGTGAATCAGCGTTTGTCTTATCGGCAACTATGTGAACGAACCTATCTCTCGTGTTAAACTTCGTGTTTGTAGTGTTGAAAAACTGGAAATTTGACTAATAACTCTACCTTCCTGATCGGTGTTGATGCAAACAGACTCAGTCGAACATAAATTTTACGAAATTTGAACGGATATTTTAGGAAATGGCCGGTTGTATGTGTTCGGAACGTGGTGCCCGGCTTTTTGCCACAGATGAGCGGTTTTGTATTGACAATGGTGCTATGATAGCGCAAGCTGGATGTCTTATGTACGGTGCTGGAATTAAATGCGAGGTAGTTCTCAGTTGTACAACACATTCACGACTGTATGAATCGTGCGTGATTTAAATAGTATGAAAATATTGAGCGCTTTAAACCACTAAATCAGAGTTCATAGTGAAGATTGAAATTTGAACTAATAAGATGTACAAAGCTTCACCAACTAGATAATATTTCTCATTTTGCCAGGAGTAAATTTAGTTTGTTTGGAGCGTATGAAGCAGATTTTTCTTCTCACTCAAAATCTATGTGGACTTCAATGCGAATGGCAGCTGGAGCGTACGAAGCGCACTGATTTTAATGCGTTTTCAATCGGTGGTTCGTTTCGCCGCATATGCCTTTCTGCCGGGCTTTTCATATTTATTACAATTTAATCATTTGGTGTTATAAAATGCAACCATTGAAATGTGCACTTTTACGTATAATCAACAATTTTTCCATGAAGAAATACATGGATCATGGTCTTACAAACAATATATGTCTTTTGTGACCGTTATTGAGGAAATGTAAACAGAATTTTTCTATCGCTTGCATTTAGTGCAAAATTACTTTGAGTGCTTTGTAACATAATTGAAATCGCAATAGTGTGAGCCTTTCAGTACCTATCGCCATGGCTTCGTTTTCTTGGCATTCGACTTATTCCTTTCAGCAGATGACAAAGAAATAGTACTAGGGTACTAGTGTGAAATTAAATATAGTTCTGTGCTAAAGTAGTAAGGCGAGATTCTCTGCACGTAGTGACAATAAATTTTCCATGAATTTCATCAAGTCCGGACGACCATCTGGAAGACGAGCCGTATGTCTAGACTACGGCACCATAGAAATCGGATACCGTACAGGAAAGCAGATGTATAGGAAAAAACAGTAAATACTGGAATATATACCTCTGGAGTAATAGGGTAAAGCTTCTTCTCTAACTCCATTATCAACTCTAGTTTCCTAGTTAATGGTCCGTATCCGAAACTAACATCGTTCTCTATGTGTTGACAGCCATGCATTTGAATGGTGGACAAGCTTAACAAGTCAACAAGTAGGAACCGTGTAGAAGTGTAGAGCTGCGGTCGGCCGTTTTAGAAAAGCCAGTGGTTTATCGATGGACCAAAAACTGCTCTCACCTTTCTGTCTTAACGATTGCACGCTGCGCTTTGCAGCTAAGGCGTTGCATCTCACCCATGTCAGGATTAAAATTAAACCAGCCGTATACCTCAATTATGCATCATGTTGTGATACTTGTCCTCACCAGTTGCTAATCACAACCACAATGTAGAAGCATTACTGGCGTACTTAAGATGTAAAAGTGTTCTTTTGCTCGCCCGATTCGTGAAGACAGTCTGTGGTGGTGTTTAAGTATTATGAGTTCTTATGGGAATATTTCTTTCAACATATAATTATTCTGTTTCACAGTGTTATAGGATCGAAATAGGTAGTTTGTCGAAACTCAGAAGTATCCGTTTTCTAAGTACGTCGTTATTTAAATTTTGTGCTTGATTTTTAACATGCCCCAATGTCTATGATTTTTTTTCACACCTTGCATTATCGGAGAGCAAGTTTTATGGTGTTAGATAGCTGCGGTTAACACCAATATTGTGTACGGTGAACTTAGGACACTTACAATATGGTCTACCTGCAAAAGTGTATCCTTCGTAAAAGTTGGTCATTTGAAAATCACGAGCACGGCACAGTACCGTTCTGATGTCATTTTTAGAATCATTATTAAAGTTGTTACTGTTTTTCAGTCCTTTTTTTCTCCTTCTTTGAGCAGAGTGCTTCAAATTGTGACTTTTAGCTTGATGAATCTACCATTACACAACGTTATCGCACTGACCAAGTGGAGGTCAGTTGGAGGACGTAATGGTGGCGTGAATCAAGTATGGAGAAGTCCGTCGCTTTTTGCAAAGATTTCTTATGTTGTGTGCAGTGATAGTTCTGAGATGTTGCTTTCGTAGTTCAGTTCTTGGTTATATTATTTTCTAATCAATGATTGGTATGATACACATTTATCGCCATCTTCGTGTTTAACGTTAGTTTTCAAGTTCTTGGTTCTCATCATTCTTTGTGTGTATAATCGCCGTTGTGATGCTCATATGTGTACATGCAAAATGATAAAGTCTGTTAAGTGCGTTTTAATCAAATGAAGGAGGAGTATAAAAGGAGGAGTACAAAGGAGTATACATTTTAAAAGGAGTATACATCATGGAGAGTGTGGCCGCCTAAGAGGCGTAGACTTGTTTCTGCTTGAACACTGGAATTCGGCAGTCAGGGACTTTTAGGAGCATTTCGATACGAGGTGAAGAGTCATTGAAGAGTGTCTTAGAGTGTTCAACGAACATACGCTCATAAGGCCCAACACAGTATGTTATATGAGACAGTTCTTGACTATCGCTGATTTCACGTTCTACATCTATTCTAGAATCTACGATTTATAATTTATACGGTTAATTACGATCTTTGCAGCACGCCTGATAATTAATGCCAGATGGAGAAAATTTTTGGGGGAGTATTTAGCTCGTATGAAGTGCTGAGACACCTGCAAAACTCCGGACCACAGGTGTGTGCAGTGGGGAACGAACACGCGCTGCTCCCCGGTAAGGACAACAGCGCGTGTTCGTT